AGGGGGGTAAAGGGGCGTGGGTGGGGTACTCACTCCAACAATAATTGCACTTTGATGCGGGACACGCACGACGACAACAAGAATAACAACAACAAAAAATCAACGTGAAAACTAGAAACGGGATTATGGGGCGGGTTGCGATCGACGCTCGTTTAGAGTCCTTCTTACACGAACACCGCACCACTCTTTCGTCACACTGTAGTTTCATTTCTTCGAAGAGGTTTAAGAGGCTGCAGCTCCCGCTGCAACCTGTCTAAGTCGTTGTAGTACTCGTGGTCCGACTCTTCCTCAGATGACCGAGGCTGGTGTCCGAGAAACACCGGTCCACCGACGGGCGCCGCACCGACGCCCGTGACGCCAATGACGCCGACTGGCGCCGACGGCTCTGGCTGGGTGATTGGAATTCCTAAGGGTTGTGAGGAGGGCGACGGCGTGACTGGCGTCGTCGGCTCGTTGCTCACGAGGTGGTACTCCGGGTTGTCCACGCTCGTCGGTTTGACGCCGTTCGCACCCGGCAGTTGGAGGAAGTCTGGATACGTCCTGAAGCCACCGTTTCTCGCTTCACCATTTTCTGTGCGAACAAATATCGTATATTTAGATGGAATTCAAGCAATATGCGGCGGTCTCCGTAAATGGCGGAAGGGTCGGCGAGTAAACCTACCTCCAGACATCTTGGACGGGTCCCCGATCAGGTCCATGTAGGTGGTTTGGCCCTGCGAGGTCTGCGGCGAGGGCATCAGGTAGTCGTCCTCGTCCAGCGGAAGGTCCAGCTTGAGGGAGCCAACCTGCGCCTCCCTCTTGGACGCCCCAGTGTCACAGCAGTCTTCATCCGCGCGGGAGGCGTCGTCTGCAAAGAGAGGAACATCGGGGTTAACCACCTGCGGCTGTTGAGTGCGCGTACTCGTCAGGGCGGGGGCCGGTCCCGGGAGGTACTCACCTCTCTGCTGCTTTAGCTGCTCTGCACCATAGGCGGCCAGCGCATCCTGGAGCCCCAGCTGCAGCCGTCGGTGCAGCTCGGGGTGCGTGGGGATGCCCTGCTGCTGCTGCTGCCGCGCCACGAGCGCCGCCGCCGTGGCCAGCGGGTGCCCGGGGATGGCGGCCGCGTACCTCAGCAGCTCCCAGTTCCTCTGGTTCTGCGGGGTGGGCGAGTCGGCGGAGAGGTGGCCCATGGGCCAGTTCTTGACGGTGGGCGTCCGGGGCGGACTGTTGGAGGACGTGGAGGTAGTCGTCGTGGTAGTGGTGATGGAAGTCGGCCCACCAGGGCCAAGCGGCCCCAGGACAGGGACGGGACCCCGCGACTTGGGCGTGAGGTACTCGTCAGCATCGACCAGCGCCTCTGGTCCCTCGATACCCGACGACAGTGACCTGATCATGTCGTCCTTGGCCTCGCTCGACGAGTAAGGTGGCAACCGCATCAGGTGGTCCCTCTGGATGACCAGGTACCGGCCCGGGTCACGCGCCATCTTACAGAACTCGTCCGACAACTCCTTGAAGCTCGGCCTGGTCTCGGCGTCCAGCATCCAGCACTTGATCATGATCATGTACACGTCGATGGTGCAGATGGCAGGCTGCGGCAGCCTCTCGCCCTTCTCCAGCAGCTCGGGAACATCGCGCGCCGGCACGCTCTCGTAGGGCCTCCCGCCGTACGTCAGCAGCTCCCAGATGGTGACGCCGAACGCCCACACGTCGCTCTTGTGCGTGAACACCCGATGCTGGATGCACTCCAGCGCCAGCCACTTGATGGGCATCTTGCCGCCCGCCGCCTTGTACTCGTCCTCGTTGATGTCGAGTAGCTTGGCGAGGCCGAAGTCGGTGATCTTGACGCAGTGCGGGGTCTGCACCAGGACGTTGCGCGCCGCCAGGTCCCGGTGCACCAGCCGCCGCTCCTCCAAGTAGGCCATGCCGCGGGCGATCTGCGTGCACCAGTTGAGGAGCGCCTTGGAGCCGATGCGGTCGCGATGCGCGCGCACGTAGTCCAGCAGGCAGCCGAGCGGCATGAGCTGCGTGACCAGCATCATCTGGGACGTCATACAGACGGCCAGCAGCTGCAGCAGGTTGGGGTGCTCCACGCTGGCCATGATGTACGCCTCCTCCAGGAAGTCCTTGTTGCTGCTCGCGCCCGTGCCTTCCCGCAACACTTTGATGGCGACGGGTATCTTGATGTTCTCGCCCTCGGGCACCCACACGCCCTTGTACACCGTGCCGAAGGCGCCGTAGCCCAGCACCCCGCCCTTGCGCATCTCGGCCTCCTTGATGATGCGCAGCTTGGCCAGGTTCGGCTTGACGCTGGGCCGCAGCGGCTCGTTGTCGTCCAGCCCCGTCAGCACCATGGTCATCTTCACCGCGTTCTCCTTGGCCTTGAAGCGCCTGCGCACGTAGTACAGGGCAAAGATGATGCCGAAGATGGCCAGCGTGATGGTGACGAGCACGACGATGAAGAGGATGGTCGAGGTGGGCTCGGGGTCGTGCACGGGGCTGCTGATGGTCTGCTCGGAGGAGCAGTACGGGCCGCGGTTGTCCTGCGGGAAGATCTTGTGCGGCATCTCGGCCGGGCAGGTGGCGGTGCAGTTGAAGGCGGTGGAGTTGTCGCCGGGCTGGCCGCCGTCGCGGTAGATCTTGTAGTTGCGGCAGTTGAAGCAGTCGGACGCCTCGGGCCCGCGGCAGCCGCGGCACTCGGGGTGGCACGCCACGCACTCCTGCGACCCGTGCACGGCGAAGTGGTCCTGCAGGCACTCGTCCTCGCACTGCTCGCCGCGCTTGAACTTGGTGCACTCCTGGCAGACCTGCTCGTGGAAGCCGTAGCCCGTGCACTTCTTGCAGCGCGGGTGGCACTTCCTGCAGATGGCCTTGCCGGCCAGGGGCTTGAGCGGGCCCTGCTCCTGCGGCCCCACCCACTCGTAGTAGTAGCCGTCCGGGCAGGACTCGTTCTTCTGCAGGCAACGCTCCACCGTCACGTCGCCGTTGATGATGGCCTTCTCGCACGACGTGCAGCCCGTCGGGCCGATGGTGTTCTCCGGGCCGCTGCAGCCGTACACGCAGTTGGCGTGGCACGGGTTGCACTCGCCGTTCTCGGCGTACTTGCTGATCGGGCAGGTGCGGATGCAGAAGGGGCCGTCGCGCACGTTCTTGCAGCGCGTGCAGTTGTCCGGGCCGGGGCCGCGGCAGGTGCCGTCGCACTCCTCGTGGCACTGCTTGCACAGCCCCTGGCCGGCGCGGTACATGCCGCCGACCGTGTCGCAGTCCGGCAGGCACGTGTCCTCGAACTGGAACTTGGCGCACGACAGGCAGTTGGTCGGCCCGGGGCCCCAGCAGCCCTCGGACGAGCACTGCTTGTCGCAGACCAAGCCCTCCGCGATGCACTCCTCCTCCTTCTTGTTGTTCTGCAGCAGCGTGTTGTGCTCGCTCGACTTCTTGATGCGTTTCCAGTCCACGCCCTGCGCGAAGCACAGGTTCTTGTTCTCCAGGATGGCGATGGAGCCCGAGTGCACCTTCTGCAGGGAGCGCAGGCCGAGCGAGCGCAGGGACGTCTTGACGATGTAGAGCGACGCGAAGTACTCGGTGAGCGCTCGGCCACCGATCACCTCGAGGTTCCGGAAGTAGGACAGGTTGGTAAACTGCTCGTGGTAGCCCTGGATGTTGACGTAGCCCGTCACCTCCTTCAGCGTGCTGAACACCTCCAGGCGGTCCGGGTGCATCATGGGGTAGCGTGGGCCGAAGCTGTAGTTGGAGTACACCATCTGGAAGCCCTTGAAGGACTGGTCCAGGATGGTGAGCGAGCCTTCAATTATGGTACAGCCGAGGAAATCATCTATGTTGCCGGCGTGTACCGTCTGCACGCCCTCGCACGTCTTGGGGCACGGGCCGCCGCACGGCACGCACTCGCCATTCACAGCCTGGAAACAAGACGGCACGGGTTAGAGAAACGAGGTCCAAACCAAACCACTGCGGGGCGCTCAGAGGCGCATGATCGCCGACCAGCCCCGGCCGGCACTACCCCGCCGCGCGCGGCCAATGCCAGAGTCTCCGCGGCGCGGGGTACGCCCGGCGGCGGCGTCGCGATGCTTCGCGGAGATATCAAAACCGGACGGGCCGGGCAGAGCGAGGGGCCCAACAACGGCGCGGTCCTGGCGCGTCCCTTTCTCCTCCTCGGCTCTGCCCGGCTCGGCCCGGCCCATAGGCCGTGGGCCCAGCGTCGCATCTCATACGCGGCCTCGTGCGAGTACCGCGACGCGGCCGCGAAGAATGCAGCGCAGCAGCGCGCCTCCGACTGGGTACAGTAGTGGTCCAGCTGCTGGGCGTGGCCCGGCGTGGCCACGATGGCGTCAGCTCTACCAATAACTAGGATGACTACCACCGCAGCCTCTCGACGGCCGTATAAGTCGCGCGGCGAATCAGTGGTGGGAGAGAGACAGACACACACAGGGAGAGAGTGTTTTCCAGGATGCGAAGAAAATGTCCTCACCTTCTTCTGCGGCGGGCAGCTCCGCACGCAGGCGCCGTTGTCCTTGAGCAGGTGCTCCGGGCAGTTCTTGACGCACGTCGCCCCGTAGGCGTACTTGCCGTGGGGGTTGGTCTCCCACCGGTACTTGACGGGGTTGTAGCGCTGCATGGCCGGGCACTCTTGCGTGCACACGCCGTCGTCGTAGAAGTTCCGACACGCCTGTAGGGGACACGGGGGCGGTTAGCGGGCAACGAGACAGAGAGAGAGGGAGTAGGGGGGAATCTCATATTCATTTTTTTAAACGCCGAGGCGATGGGATGGGAGGTGCCGAAGGAGGTACCCCTCCGGTACCCTCGGAGGCTCGGCCCAACTCACCAGACAGTCGCTCTGCTTGGGACCGGTGCAGCCTCCGGCACAGAAGAGGTGGCAACACTGCCGGGGCTCCGGGCCGAAGCACCGGCCCTGCCAGCACTGCGGGCTGCAGTTGGTCTTTGAAAACTGCTGGCAGTTCTCGACGCCCTGGAAGGAGAACGGACGAGCGTTAGGTTAGGTCATGAACCGCCGCAGTTTGAGATTAATTTGAACGCGTATTTGGGCGCGCTCTGCGGCCCTTAAGCCGTGGCTTCCTTTCCTCACCTCTCCCCAGCAGCCGGCGGTGCAGTTGGCGTGGCAAGCAGGACACTCCCGCTCCGGCGACGTGAAGTTGTACACGTAGGTGTATTTGGCGTTGTGTCCCGTGATAATCTCATCCCAGTTGATAGTCCGAATGTGGCACAGGTTGTAGTTGTTGAACATGCCCACGCTTCCGCTCAAAATATCTGCAATCAAAACGACCAATTAGCTCAGAGCCTCCTACTCCTCCTCCTCATTTTCTTCCTCGACTTATTGGGGCAATGCTATGCAAAATGCGTGTGCTTTTGCGATGCCGCCGCTAGGCTTAACCTCTTGATCCAAACGTCGATAAGTATAATTGAAATGCCGAGGCCTGGCTCGCCTTGTGGCAGCTGGCAGCGGCGGGGCGGGATGCCTGGCGGAGTCGGACGCCCGCCTAGGTAGGCAACCCGTTTGCATGGCTGCTCGACAGGCCTGCATCCTCTCCCGAACCTCACACTACTCACCTCTGAGCGCGGGCATCTCCAGCGTGTGCATCTTTGACAGGGTGACGAACAGCGCGAACTCCTCCTCCTGGATGTTGACCTTGAAGGTGGTTCGGCCGCGGATGATTTGCAGCCGCGGCAGGACGATGCGCCGCACGTCCACGTGGCTGATGAGCACGTAGCCCGTCACCTCGCGGATGTACTGCAGGAAGCTCAGGTCGAACCCTTCGTCCTGGAGCCACGTCAGCTCCAGGTTGCCGTCCACGTAGGTGCAGTTGGTGTACCGGTCGCGCAGGTTGCGGTAGTGGTGCTCCCGGTTGGACGGCACCGACATGCGACCGTTCGTGCCGATGCATACTGCAAACAGAGGAAAAGGAATGTCTCGGTTAGGTTCGGTTCGACTCCAAAGCAGCGCCAGGAGACGGACGGCGAGCATGTGACCCGCGCCAGTCCAGCAGCACGCCAGTCCACCTCATCTCCGATAAAGTGATCCGCTACAATGACTGAATCCCAAAGGTGTAATCGTTAGTACCCACCCTCGGGTACCCTGTCCTCGCTGCACGACTCGCCGCCCCCTAGTGTGTTACCAAAAGCCTCTTGCGGCCTCACGCCCCGGCAGGCCGAACAGGCGGGCAGCTCGATCCGCATCCGAGAGCGGTGTAACAAACGATCAAGGAGTTGGAATCGTGAGCACGAATCGCCGCGGCGAGACGCGGCTCGGAGGTGGAGGTGAGGCGCGCCGACCCCAACACGGCGGGGCGGGGCGGGGCGTGGCGGGGCGGGGCGTGGTGTGGCGAGGCGAACACCCGGTGCATTGAACCATGCGAGAGCACGCGTCGAGGCTCCTCCTCGGCGAGCCGATGGCTGCACTACACTACCCCTGGCCTGGCCGCGCGTCCTCATGTGTAACGCCACGCTGTGCAAGCGGGAGAGCATGAGGCCCGAGGCCCAGAGCCGCTTGTGGTGTCTCCTCAAACTCCGAGTCAAACTCAAACAAGACCTCAAGGCCCCGCGTGCAGCCTGCCTGTCCTGGCGGTTGTTTATCTCGCAGGGTCCTTGTTAGAGTCCCCGCCGGGCCCGGGTCGGCCGGGGGGCTGGGCTTGGGTTTCGGCGACACACCCGATAAGGTCCTCCCTCCTCGGCCATGTCCTTGAACCGCTGCAAAGGACCCACAGAATGTGTGTTTGTATTCGATAAGATACGTGTCCCCGCTCCACACAGTTGGCCGGCCGGGCGACTAGAGAGTGGCCGACGAGGCCGACGCGGGGTCGACTAGGTCGCGGTCGCCGGCCGGGCCCCCTTACGTCGTCACACCGTTTGTTTGGCAAACCCCGTAGTGTCCATCCGGCCAATTGGGACCCGGGCTCTAATTGCCTCGAGGACACCGGGCCGGTGGCCGCTCTCGCTCTCTCCCCCCCCCC